TTGGGAAGATTCTACTGTAATGATGCTTGCTCCCTAGTGACATCTAGATTGACTGGGTTGTTTGGCTTCAATTCTGCTGGCCTCACATTCTCAAATCATAGTTTGTAGGTAGCCTCACTGAGAGACATGGATAGATTAGGAATATTCTGAACCTGTCATAAGAATTAAATTCTGTGTTTCCTCATCTCCTGATGGGCCAACATGCTAAAGCATCTATACCAAAGAGAAGTTTGAACCAATAGCTATGAGGAATGTTGCATGTGAATTTGTAGGATGGTACTTTGCCATTATGTATTTTTTTATGTAACCATGCACTTTCCCCTTTACTACATAATGTAACAGAAGGAAACCCCAAAACAGAAAACAAAATTCTTCTAAACATAACCCAGTGGATCTTGCCAAAGTGGGAGAGGATGAGATTTGCTGCCACTGAGAGTTGATTTTCATTAGCTTTCCTTCCACACCCATTGGGCCCAGGCCAGGCAAGTCTTGGCTCTCCTTCGATTGTGAAGAAAGCTAACAAGGGTGAAAAAGTTAGAAACGCGATTACTCAAAATTGGGTCTGAAAGATTCGGCATGATGAGGACATTTTGAATATTTTCTTCCATGCAATTATTTTTTGCCCAGTGTGGGCATATTTTGGGGGTCTGCTTTAGCTCCGCTTCAAGCGTGTTTTCAGAGGTAGGTATAAAAGGAAGGGGCTGCCAGCCCACAGTGGCCAGGAAGCAACCCATTTTCACCCTGTTCCTCTAACCAAGAGTTCTCCAGACTTGCGGAGTTGTCTGAAGGAGAACACAGCAGTCTGTGTTCCTTGCACGTCTGCGGGGGTGGTGGGAGACGGCTTTTCGCCAGCCGTCGGGCTGAGAATGTCCATTTTCATGGCTCATTGATTGATCCTGGAGAGAATTTTGGGCTTAAACTTCTACCACCAGTTCTTGTAACTTGGCTCCTGACCAGTTCTGTCTCGTGGTTCAGTGGTTTGAGAGCGGCGGCAGCTGAAATAGAGCAGAAGACAGAGAAGGGTCCGGAGTGTTGGCTGCAAGGTCGAGAAGAAAGAGCTCTACATTTATTTTTTCATTAAAATTTAAACATTTGGGGGGCTGGAGCAATAGCACAATGGGTAGAACATTTGCCTTGCATGCGGCCGATCCAGGTTTGATTCCCAGCATCCCATAGGGTCTCCTGAGCCCCACCCAGGAGTAATTCCTGAGTGCAGAGCCAGGAATAACCCCTGTGCATCGCCATGTGTGACCCAAAAAAGCAAAAAAAAAAAAAAAAATTAAACATTTTCTTTTGAGATCATTATAAATTCACAAATCATTGTTGGAAATGTTATACTGAGGCTCTGGGCCTGTACCTGGTTCCTTCATTCTTTTATGCCCTCGTTCCTGTCCATCACCATAATGCAGACTCTGGCATCATGCCAGCCAGGACCAGGACCATCCTGGCAGCCTAGCTGTTCCTCAGACCCTTCAGTAGAGATGTTTACCCGCCTTCTGCTTTTTCTCGTACCTCTCTAACCAGTCACCCTTACTCATCTGTTTCCCATGCATATAATGTTGTCATTTCCATATTGCTATAATGTATATCTGTATCGTCATTTCCAGACACTGTACATTATTATTGCTATAATATTAAATTATTAAATTAATTAATTAAAGGCCCTCCCGTTGATCGTCGATTTGCTCGAGCGGGCCCAGTAACGTCTCCATTGGAGACTTTGTTGTTACTGTGTCTGGCATATCGAATACTCTCGGTAGCTTGCCGGGCTCTCCGAGAGGGGCGGAGGAATCGAACTCGGGTCGGCCATGTTGGCCGCTTGTAAGGCGAACGCCCTACCCGCTGTGCTATTGCTCCATATTGCTCACTATATTATAATTTATAGATTATTATATATTTCCAGGTTGCTTTGTGATTTTGTGTATCTGTGGTTATAAAGGAATTGAATAATTGCATGTATAGGCAATTATGTATAACATAAATATTGCATACATAATAAATAATAGTGAATATAATATTATACTTTCAGTGGGATTGGCTTTGTATTGACTCTGTACTCAGAACTAAGTTTTACAGTAGAGTGAAGTTCTTTTAGTTTTATCACCTCTAACAAAAGAATCATTGAAAGTTCAATTTACTGAGTCAGAGCAGAAAAGCAGAATATATTCTATATGCAGGCAGAGATTGTAATTCTTTGTCCACCCCCAGTAACTAATGAGAATACTAAGTATACAAAAGGCTGAAGTATGTGCTGAGTTTGGCCTGAGTTTGATCCCTGGTACCTCATAGTCCCCTGAGCACCCCTGGGAGTGACCCCTGAGCACTGGACCAAGAGTCACCTGTGTGACTCTTTCCCCCCAGAGTACTGAGTAGAGTTTGAATGACCGTCTTTTATTTACTTATTTACTTTTGGTTTTTTTTTTGGAGGGGGCTGGAGCGATAGCACAGTGGTAGGGTGTTTGCCTTGCAAGTCGCAGGCCTGACCGAGCCCGGGTTCAATTCCTCTGCCCCTCTCGGAGAGCCCAGCTAGCTACTGAGAGTATCTCTCCCGCACGGCAAAGCCTGGCAAGCTCCCCGTGATGTATTCAATATGCCAAACACAGTAACAATGAGTCTCACGATGGGGATGTCACTGGGCCCGCTCGAGCAAATCGATGAACAACGGGAGCACCGTGCCACCGTGCTACTTTTTGTTTTCAAACTATGCCCATCAATACTCAAGGCTTACTCCTGCCTTTTAGTTCAGGAATCATTCTTGAGAGGGCTCAGGGGACCCTGTGGGGTGTTAGGAATTGGACCTAGGTTCACTGTGTGCAAGGCAGGTGCCTTACCTACTGTACTATCTCTCTGACCTCATAATGACTTTTTTAAAGGGGGAATTAATAATTAAAAAATTCTTAAAAATCTTTTTCACTGAATTGCTGTGAGATACGGTTACAAAGTTGTTCATGGTTAGGTTTCAGTCATAAAATGTTCCAACACCCACCTCTTTGCCAGTGTACATTTCCCACCACCGGTGTCCCAGCCATCACCACCACCACCACCTCTCTCTAAGGCACGCACTCTTTTCTCTTTCTCTCTGTCGGTCTTTCTGTCTGTCTGTCTCTCCCCCCGCCCATGTCTCTGTCTCTCTCCTTCTAATGATCATATTTTTAATGTAGACTTGTTTTTGCCTTTTTCTTGCTAGTTTAGGGCTTCTTGAACTTTATAGTGCACACAATGTATCAATAAATTGAGTATATAGGGTACAAGCTACTACCATTTCAAAGGGGATTCCAGATACGGAGATAATCGTGACTGAATGTCTTTGCCCTTTGTATCTGGACATAGCTCTCCTCTTTCATTGCTGCCTGCCCTCTGGACTTTTTCTCTGGGATAGACTTATGTTCTGTTAAGATATTTTATACATTGAGGCCAGAGTGATAGTCTAGCGGAGAGAATTTTTGCCTTGCATGCAGCCAACCCGGGTTGGATCCCCAGCATCCCATATGGTCCCCTGAGCACCGCCAGGAGTAATTTTTGAGTGCAGAGGAAGGAGTAACCCCTGAGCATCGCCAATTGTGACCCAAAATGCCAAAGAATGATATTTTATACATTTTGTCAAATGGTCTTAGCTGTCCCCAGCATTGTGAGAGAGTACCTCTCTAATCTTTGCCAGCTGTAATGATTCTAATAACTTCAAACCCCTATTTATTTTTACGTTAAAAAATTAGTTTGCCTTTGGAGAACGTTATTTTTTCATATGCATGTTTACCTTTTTCATCCCCCCTTTGGCATTAGTAATCGTTTTTTTATTCATTAGTAATCTAATTTCATTTCTATTGGTTATTACACTCAGGGTGGCTCTGGAGAGCAGGAGGAAATGCGTTCTAGCTAGAATGAGTAAAAGTGATGTTATAGACATGGAGAGCATCATGCTAAGAGAAATGAGTCAGAAAGAGAGAAAGGGACAGACATAGTATGACTGCACTCATTTGTGGAATATAAAGTAACATAATAGGAGACTAACACCCAAGGATAGTAGAAATAAGGGCCAGGAGGATTTCTCCACGGGTTGGAAGCTGATCTCACATGCTGGGGGAAAACGCAGGATCACTAAGTAGGACCACTAAGTAAATAATGGTTGGAGGGCTCGCCCAGGATGGTAGATGCATGCTGAAAGTAGACTATGGACCAAACATGATGGCCGCTTAGTACCTGTATTGCAAACCATAACACCCAGAAGAAGAGAGAGAGTAAGAGGGAACATGTCGCCACAGAGGCAGGAGGCGGGAAGGGGTGGAGGTGGCAGGAGGGATAGTGGGAACATTGGTGGTGGAGAATGGGCACTGGGGGAGGGATGGGTATTCAAACACTTTATCACTGAAACATAATCAAGAAAGTTTGTAAGTCTGTAACTGTATACTATGGTGATTCATTAAAAAAAATATATATATATATATATATTTTTTTAAAGTGATGTTGGGAAGTGAGCTTCCTAGGAGCACAGATGGTTTCTGAGAAGAAACGAAAACACTAGATCATAAGGTCAGGAATAGAAAGGAGACTAAATATCTCTTTTAGCTCAAAAGAAGAATGATCTGGTTTTCTGGGTATTGTCCAGCCCCTAACTGTTCTGAGCATGATTCAACATGCATGATTCAACCTCAGTTTATCACCTAGTGGAGACCTCAGAGCTGGCACTACACTTCAGGAAGGCAAAAACTTTTAGCCTTTGGGTTCAGTGTTCTGAGAGGGAATATGACTAGCATCAATGTTTATTAGAAGTTTGCTTTCAAATGTTTGCTTCCTTTTGGTTTCAGTGATGATCTGTATGATATATTATGCCTATTATTGGAAAAGTGTGGGATTTTAAAATTTTACTTTCCCAACGCTTCACATTTATGTATGGTAAACATTTTACAGGTAAAAAATTCAAAAGAAAGCACTTATGTGGAAATTTCAGATATATTTGAGTAAGTGGTGATGCGAACTGAACTCAGTCCTGTATTTCCTTTCAGATTTATCAACGATGCTGGTTAGTATTCAAGAAGGCGTCAAGCAAAGGTCCAAAAAGACTGGAGAAATTTTCCGATGAACGTGCTGCGTATTTTAGGTGTTATCATAAGGTAAGATCACTAGCTGGGAACTTCCAGAAATCTTTGTACAAGAAGAGAGCTAATTCATTGACTCTGAAAACTTCAGAATATGTCACAAAGGCACAGAGAATAATGTCTCCAAGGACAAAACATCTTTAAAATAATACTGACTTAGTAATCGTTTAGAACAATTGACAAGGGCCAATACTATGGCTCAATGGTTAGAGCACATACATGAGACGTGCAAAGTCTTGAGTTTGATCTCCAATACCTCATACCTCCTCCTTCAGCACCTCCAGGTGTGGTCATGATAGTCCCTGGGCTCTAAAAATTGTGGTCCCTTGTAAAAAAATAAAACTGTTGGCTTGTTCCTTTCTGAAATGTAGAATTTGCCCTATTTTAAATAAACATTTGATTTCCTATGTAGCTCCTACTCCAAGCATTGAAGCTCTTTGAGAGTAAGGAGAGGCTTTCACTGGGTCTGGCAATGTCTAGTACGCAAATGATACTGATCCAGCACTTGGGAGGGGCAGAAGGAGAAAGCAGAGGACACTGGGAAATGGGTGATGGGGGAAGGAAGAAGTTCTTTCAACTGGCTTACTTCAGTTTGATGATAAACTTAGTTCAGGCTTGTTGGTTTCTTAGTAGGAGTGAGGTTTCCTCACAAAAAATAGTAGTTGTGTGTTAATAACACATCACTCAAAGGTTTGCAGTAACAGTAAATACACAGTAGGTAACCTTAGCATTTGGGATTTGCAGATTTGGCCATTTTTTTCCCCCTTTGTATAGCAGTGTATGGTTCATATATTATTATTAATGGGTGCATGTTTTATGTTTTCATGGAAATGTGTCAAAGCACATGATTAACACATTTTTTTTAGATGCTAGAACTATTTCATTGCTTGGTTTCCCATCTTGCTTGATTCCATCTTCTTTGGCGACTGTTGATCATTGTGCCCCCCCCCCCGCCCCCAGTCACATTTTTATGGGAAATAATAGGAGGTTTGGAGCGATAGCACAGCAGGTAGGGCGTTTGCCTTGCAAGCGGCCAACATGGGCAACCTGAGTTCAATTCCTCTGCCCCTCTCAGAGAGCCCGGCAAGCTACTGAGAGTATCGTGCCCGCACAGCGAAGTCTGGCAAGCTACCCGTGACATATTCGATATGCCAAACACAGTAACAATTGTCACAATGGAGACGTTACTGGGTCGGCTCGAGCAAATTGATGAACAACGGGAGGACAGTGACAGTGAATAGGTCTCTGAGCTCAGAGATTTATCTAGGTGAAGGTAAATGAATACTGTTTTTCTTTTGTGAAATTCTTTGTGTGTACTAACGTTACAGCTTCTTATGAAGGGCCTAGCCAGACAGGAATGTTGGTTTATACAACCAATGGGTTGTATACAACCAATAGGACAAGCTACACTCCTGCTCAGTTATAGAAGTAGTATAACTTAGCTTCCTGGCTGCCAGACTGAGAAGGTGGGGCCTTTGGGAGTTGATTAGGTTTGATTAGGTTGATTAAGAACTCTTCTTAATGAGATTAATGTTCTTGTAGATGAGCGATCTCTATGTGTGGACATAAGAAAAAATACTGTCTCTGAATCTGGCATTGAATTGGTCGCTCCTTGGCCTTACACTTCCCAGCCCTTAGAGAAGAGAGAGAGAGATTTTTTTTTTAATTTATGCAGCACCCAGGCTATGGTATTTTGCTATACTATCTTGAATGGGTCAAGATAACAACAAGTTTTTGTTCGATTAGGTAAGATATGTGACTTCTGATGCTTATCAGTCTTCATTTTGGTAGAGTTCCAGATACATCCCGAAATACCTGATGCTTCACAATCCCCTATACCTATCCTGCTGAATCTGAACAATAAATGGGCTATGCTTTGCTTACAGACCTCTACACACTGCCGAGCAGAAAGAGAACAAGCCAGGAAAGCTTGGTAGGAATTTTACAGGTCCAGTGCAGGGGGGCCGTTGCTTCCTTACCATGCATAGGGCCTCTGAACACTTTTCACCACCTTGGTTACGTCCACTGTTGTCCAACCACTGTGCTACCCAATTGTCCACCTTTTAGAGCCTATTCAGAGTCTCCTGCCCCCGCGCCTGGCTGTCCTCGCCGGGGCCCCTTGGAGGGGAGTGGGTTGAGTTTTCCTCCCCACCCTGACCAAGGCTCCAGCAGCCAAAGACCTCCAGAACCAGCCACCACCATGCTGAGACCACTCTCCGCACACATGAAGGTACTGGCAGAGGGACAAAGCCACGCAGGTTCCGGGGCCAAGATCTCCAAGCCTACTCAGATTGGGGCTGAGCATCCTCCACCCAGATCCTCCAAATTCCAGTAGGCGGGGGTCACACCCACCACCTGGCCCCCTGGCGCCGTGTAATCCCATCAACGGCCAAGACTCAGAGACTATAAAACCCAGCTCCCAGAAGCGCGCGGCCGCAAATTACATCTTATCATCTCATTCCTACTTTGGACAAACTGGCAGGCTACCAAATGTCACCTGCCCACACGGCAGAGTCTGGCAAACTCCCCGTGGCATCCAATATGCCAAATACCAGTAACAATGAAGGGTCTCATTCTCCTAACTCTGAAAGAGCCTTGAATATGGCACTTTAAAAAAAAAAAAATCTCAGGGCTAGGACGAAGAGACGTTATTGGGGCCTGCTCGAGGCAATTGACGAATAACAGGATGGTTGTGATTGTGATTGTGATTAGAGCCTATTCAAAACTCTGATACCATCATGACCCCCCCCCCCAGCTCAAAACCCTTAAACAACTTCTTGTAATGACCTCTCCATTCACCAAGCTGACTCCATCATTGCACCTTTCTCATTTTCCATCAATCCCTCTTTCCTCCGTCCAGTGTCCAGATTCCTTGCTTTCCCAAGTATATGCTGAGCACTTTTGGCCTAATCTGTCAAACTGCAATATTAAAAGAACGACCTTGGAACTTGGCCTGGAATGTTCTCCTCATTCCTGAATACCCTTCCTTCTTCTTGAGGTCATTGTTGAAAGGCCTTCGCTAAGTGAGACCATGGGGGGGGTGGGGCCATTCCAAAAGATGGAGCCACTCTGCCTCCTGCATCCTCCATCCCATATGACCCGTCTTTTCACTCTTTACACTTAAAACTAGAAATATTATTTTTTGTTTTATGTCCCTACCCCCCACCACCCAAACCAATTTCTAGAAAGGCAGAGATTTCTGTTTCTTCTTTTGGGGGTGGGGTGGTGGGTAGAGATGTTGGGAAGGGGGACCTGGTTTACTGTTTGTCAGTGTAAAGTGTAACACATCACTTAATCACTTAATTTCCCGTTAGTCGTCGATTTGCTCGAGCGGGCGCCAGTAATGTCTCCATTTGTCCCTGTCGCGTGCTAGTGTAGCCCAGTGGCATCTGTTGGCTCTGGGAACATGAAGGGCCTCAAACCGATCGTTCATGATCTTGACGAAGAAGTCTGACCATCTGGTAGTGGGGCGGCCACGCAGTCTTTTGACATCCCGTGGAATCCAGTCGGTAACAGCTCTAGTCCAGTGGTCGTCTTTAAATCTCATTACGTGACCAGCCCATCTGATTTTGACACCTTGGCAAATGAGACAGCGTCCCTGATTCTTGATCATCGACGGATGTCAGAACTCCAGATTCTTTCTCTCATTTGAGTGAAACGTGATATTCCAAGCATAGCTCTTTCTATTCTTCTTTGGGAGACCTGAATAGCGTTCTCATCTTGTTTGCCTAGGGCCCAGGTCTCTGAGGCATATGTTAATGCAGGAAGAACAGTGGAATCAAAGAGATGTGCCCGGAGCCGGAGGTTCTTCATCCTCTTAGCTATTTCTTGGACGTTCTTGAAGGCGTTCCAAGCCGCTCTCTTCCTCCTGCGCAGCTCGGGTGCCAGGTCATTTGTCATGTTGACCTCTCGACCTAGGTAGACATAGCTGTTGCATTCGGAGATGGTCGTTCCATTGAGAGCGAATGGGGCATCAGGAACAAGGCTGTTTCTCATAAACATTGTCTTCGTCAGATTCAGCTGTAGTCCTACCTTTCCACACTCACGGTCAAAGTCGGCCAGCATTTGTGCCGCTTGGCTGATGTTTGGTGTTATTAAAACAATGTCATCAGCAAAGCGGAGGTGGTGTAGTTGCCGACCATCTACCTTCACTCCCATTCCTTCCCATTCTAGTCGTCGCATGATGTTCTCGAGGGTGGCACTGAAGAGTTTCGGTGAAATGGTATCACCCTGCCGCACCCCTCTCTTGACATCAACGATCACTTCTTTGTAGAATGGTGTGATCCTGGTAGTGAATCCGCAATACAGCTCACGGAGGATCCTGATGTATTGGGCTTGAATGCCCAATTTTATGTAACACATAAAAGATTTCTTTTTAATTCTTTGGTGTGAATCAATGAATATTACCAGTAGAGGAAATGAAAACCCAGAGATGTCTTTATGGCATGTCTTTGTTTACTATACCAGAAAAAGTGGGCTGGAGCGATAGCACAGTGGGTAGGGTGTTTGCCTTGCATGAGGCCAACCCAGGTTCAATTCCTCCACCCCTCTCGGAGAGCCCAGCAAGCTACCGAGAGTATCCCACCCTGCACAGCAAAGCCTCGTAAGCTCCCCGTGGAGTATTTGATAAGCCAAAAACAGTAACAACAAGTCTCACAATGGAGGCATTACTGGTGCCCCCTCAAGCAAATAGATGAACAACGGGAGGACAGTGCTACAGTGTTCATTCATTCATTTCATTCATCATCCTGTTATTCGTCGATTGCCTCGAGCAGGCCCCAGTAACGTCTCTTTCATCCTAGCCCTGAGATCATATTCAAGGCTCTTTAGGAGAATGAGACCCACATTGTTACTGGTATTTGGCATATTTGGTACGCCACGGGGAGTTTGCCAGACTCTGCCCTGTGGGCAGGCTACATTCGATAGCCTGCAAGTTTGTCCAAAGTAGGAATGAGATAATAAGATGTCATAAAAAGATGTCCTGATAAGATGTCGCGCGGCCGCGAATGTGGCCG